CAGGTTCATCCACCTCTTGGACGGTGGCATACTTCGGCTCGGAAAGTGCAGCTGCCTTGCTCAGCAACGTATTAGGTGGAAGACGTCATATTGGTGGGGCCGTGGCCAAATTTCAAATGATTCATGTTATGGACTATTTTAGCCGTCGTCTATAAACCACTACATTTTTCTCTTTTGTGTCTTACAGTTTGGTGTTTGAGCTTGTGATTTATTACCTGAGCTGTGCAGGATAACAGCTGGGGAAGCGTTCGTGATTGATTTGCCATCCGTAACCCTGATGCAGGGTTTTCCTGGCGCGTGAGGAGCTCAGCCCCCGGGCCGCATGGGAGTTGCATGCGCGGCGCTCTGTTACTGTTGTCCAGAAACTGGACCTGCTGCGAGGAGTGCCCGCGCGTTTTGTGCAGAAGGCTGTAAACGGTTTTGATGACGTTGCTGTGTGCAATCGTTACAAAATCTTTTCTGCCTGTTAAGCCAGGGAGAAAAATTGGCACAAGTAGTAGTTTCTGTAGGGGTTGTGTGGTTTTTTGCTTGTGTTGGTTCCCTTCCCCCTGAGGAATGCATTACAGTAGTATATGCGCTAGTAGTCTTAAGGGTGCTACTTGCTTCAGAGGCAAACCAGCTAGACACGGAGCTTTCTCCTGAGCCAGTTCTTGGACGTAAGAGGCAGGGTTTTTGTAAATCTTTTGTGATGCCATGAAGAAAAGTAAAGCACTATCACCAGAATGTCACACTGTGGAGTTGATCTTGCTTCTGCCTGAGATTGTTCTGTGTTTCAGTGACTCTGTGTATGGATACCGACCTGGTGTTGTCATTCATGTTTCATCAGCTGTAGTGCTGAGCATTGCTTCTAGCTTTAATAACTATTTCTTAGATATGTCCCATATAAGTCTTCTCCAGAAGAAACCACCGTGTAGTTCAGAGTACTGATGACACGCCTGGGGAGTGGCTAAAGTACGACTCTGCTTTGCTGTCTGTGCCAAGTTGGCTGCCTGGACCCTTCTGTTCTCCTGGACTCAGCTCCTCCCTTCACCACTTCTGGTGTCTCTTAATACCTTATCTGTTTCCAGGCAGTAGTTTCGAAGGGTGTTGAAGTTCCAGTAGGCTCTGGCAAACCAGATTTTAAAAAGCATTTCAAAGCCCAAATTATGTTTGGGAGTCACTGAGCTGTCAGCAGGGAAAAATCTTTGGTAGAAGGCATATGCATAGCTCTACTTTTATGATGAGCACAGTCCTACATCATGAGAATTGTTCTGAGCCTCCAGTTGCCCTTTTCACGCACATCTTATCTACCTTTTGTATTTCTGAAGCATCTCAGGATGGGGCCTTTGTTTAGGGCCCTGCAAAGGGAATCATCTCTCCTTCTCCTTCTCAGGATCTCCTGTCCTCCCATCTAACTCCTTCTCCTTATCTCCTTCTCAGGTGCAGCATCCAAGGGTAATCTGAGCCTGAAATATTATGCTTTTGGGAGGGAACATGGCTAGAGCTATCCAGGCAGGATGGCTCCGAATGAAGCAAGCAGCTGTTGGTGGTGAGGGGAAGTCAGACAACTGATTCCTTTTTTTCTTATGGCATGACAGGGACACCAAAACCAACATCTCCTGAAAGAACAGTGTTCAGCCTCAGTGGTATTTAGCATTGCAGCTATTTGGACTTTCCTATAAACTTCTTGCCTTGCCTCCCCAGTTTTTCTTCGCTGCTTGAATCTCCAGGCAAGGGCTTGGTTAGTGCATGTGTTATGTGAGGTTTTTTTTGCTAGGGTGCTGCACTGGTTTTGAGTCTGGCATTGAGTTCACTGCAGGTGATGTTGGGAATGCTGATAGCGTGCCATGCCCTCGTCTACACAACGAATATCTCCAGAACTGTAATTGGCAGGAGGGCCAAGGAAGCTGGAGAAAACTTAGGATGAGAAAAGTGAGGGAACTGCCCAATGAATTTGACTTTTTAAGCCTTATGAGTTAGGACCTGCCCATTCTTAACCTAGCACAGGAATGCAACAGATAATGTCAAGGCAGTGAAGCCCTCCCAGCTGGCAGCAGCAGTCCAGGGAATTGCCTCCAGAAGACAGGTATGGAGGAGATATTTTCAATGCCAGCAAGGAGTAATCTGTGCCTCTGGCTCCTTCTCTGTGCTATGCCATGTCCGGGTGTGCATGTATAACCCGGACACGCTGGTTGCTGTTTGCCTCTTGTGCCCCTGTCTTGGCAGTCGGCTCTTTTCCTGTCAGTACTGATGACCATCTCCTGCACTTGTTCCTGTCCTGCAGGAGGTCTTCTCCTGCCTGCTTGACCTCCCTGCTCTACAAGAATGATCTGTTTTGCCGCATTCTTGAGCTGTCGTGACCCTTCATATCGAAAATTACATTCCCTTTTAGTTCCAGCCTTAGTAATTCAAGCTTGTTGCTTGTACTTAATGTCCCAAAACAAGGCACTTGGTGGCTTTAGTGAAGGTGGCCCAGCGGGAGGATGGACCTGATAGGAATCTCTCTAGTTCTGCAGCAGGTCTCCATTCCAGGCAGGTGGCCACCAGCAGGGAGCTGGCAATAAGAGAAAGTGATGGAAGTGAGAAGATTTTTAACCTCCCAGCCCTCTAGCCACATGCTGCTTTATTTACTAAAAATAAGTTGCTAATTCAGCCTTTTGGGGAAGCCTCAGGCATAGGGAGAAGGGTTGCTAATAGCAGTTGTTGGCTTTGTTGGTAGAACTAACTACATGAAAGCTGGCTGTGACTACTGAGTTGTTTTTCCACCAGTACAGCTTGAAATTCATTTGCCCCTGTGGTGAGGTTGGAGGTTGTAGAGGGAAGAGGAAAAGGAGGGAATGTGTTCTGACTCTTTCACTGTTATTTTCTTGTGTGCTGAAGAGGCTCTGCAATACAGAGCGTGCTTTCTTACCTTCCTCCTGCTGGTGGGTGCTAGGCAGGAACAGAACTGTGCTTTTCCAGAACCTAGGGTCATTGCTGAATCAAAGCATATTGACTAAATGAGGGGGAAAGATCTTGTGAAGTCAGCGCCTTCAAGATAGCTCAGTGCTTCTGTAGTATTCAAGCTTCAAGGAACTGCGTAGCTTGAGGACTTCCAGAGGATGTATTTGTCACCAAGAGCTAGGGAGGCTCAGTCAAGATTTTTGGCATGAAAAGGGTCTGACTTTCCCATGGGGGGACATCTGTGCTCAGTGTGCCAAATGGCTTCTTTTGTTTGTTTAGGTGGGGGTTTTTTTAGCACAGATTAGGTCTCTGATCCATTTTGATTTAGGAAGAGGGACTTTTCCTTTTTTTTAAATTCTGGTTTTGTTAAAACATCCACTGAATGTTTAACATCTGTTATAATTTTAGAAAATAGTCCTGGGAGACGCTTTGTCACTGAGGAGGAGTGCTGAGGTTATGACAGACGGTGCAATCTAAACACTGGGATGTGCTGCAGGCTTTGGAGAAAAAAAAATCTTTCTGGGTGTGTGCATCTGCTTTTCTGGAGCTCAGAGAATTTGGAATTATGACATTTTCTGATATGCCCACCAGGAGAACGGGGAGGGCCCAGAAACATGCTTGAAGTTAGGTGGCAATCCAGTTTTAACACAAGCTCTTGTAATTTGTGTAGATGGAAAAAACTTAATGGGCAAAGCCTATTGTTAGAGCAGTCAACCTCAGTTCAGGAAACAAGACTACACACTCATGCCCTCGTGCCGTGCGGACTCCTGGTTTGTGGTGACATTTGAGTCCTCTGTAGTGCTCTTGTCTTCTGTGGTGCCTAAGTATATGCCAACTTCTAAGTAGGTACTGAGATGGGTTCCTGGCTTCGGGGCTGAAGGCAGCAGTTAGCCTTTACTTGTTTTGCAGAGCAGAAGCAGCCGTGAAGGGAGGTGACATGGTATATTTTGTATTTTGGCCTTGGTATGTTACCTGCCTTTTGTAACTTAGAATTTGTTGAAATATATGGTGAGGCTTTTTTCTCTATTATAATTTCCTATTCCTTTGCTCTCAGCGAAAGGAATAATCAGCTTCAGTATTTGCTTAAGCAGAGAAAGGAACTAAGAGGTTCCTAGTCCCTTGTTCTGTCAAGAGGATCCAGCAAATCAGCTGCTTTTCTGAGGCACCGAGCTGGTGAGGTACACAAGCCAGGGACTCGCCCATCCTCTCTTATCACGTTCATCAACCATCCTGTTACTGTAGAATTGGATCTGACTTTCCTCAAAGCGTGTATGGCTATCTCATCAGTCCCAAGAAAAGCAGGAACCCTGAACTATGCAACAGGATGACTTAATTGTAACGTGTAGGAAGAATCTCACTTTTTGCATGAGCCACAGCCGCTTTAAGAAAGACACTGGAAGACGTGTTTAAAATATCAGCTGTTCTTCAGATCTTGCAAACTCTTTATTGCCCTTTTCCACAAACTTGTCTCCTTATTGGACTTGATTAAAGGGCAAAGTCAAGGCAGTCAGTGATGTCTGAAGTTAACAGTGTTACAGTTTTAATTTATCAGAGTCTTTGTGAGTTATTTATCATATGATTCATAGACGGTAGTTTCATGGTCTCGTAATCTGTTATGCCCACTGATTCTGCTTGCGCTAACTACTGAAGGGAGACGTTTGTTTCTACGAGGCATCAGCTGGGCCTGAGCCACAAGGCACAGGGTAAACAGGATCCATCCTGACAAGGGTGCGTGGGCCTGTTATATTATTCACCATTTAGAAGTGTGGATCTCTCGCCTTGACTTTCAAATCAAAAATATAGCCCTAGGCTAATCCCTCAGGTCCCACCTCTGCGGACAGGACGATACCAGGCGTGTTCTGCTTTTCAGAATTTCCCCATTCATGATGTTCTCGGTTGTGCTTTGAATGTTTGCAATACTTCTGTGAGAAAGAATAAAAAGAAGTCTTTTACCAGCAAGATAGTCTAAATCTCTTCTTTGCAGCATAACAGAGCATTCGTTGAAAGATTGCTTTTCTCCTTTTAAAGCCTAGCTCTAGCGAGTTTTCCTTGTTCACTGTTCCTCTCTTCCCTTGCAGCATCAGCGAAAGCTTCCTCACTGTGAAAGGTGCAGCGCTCTTCCTGCCGCGAGGAAATGGGTCTTCTACTCCCCGGATCAGCCACAGGCGCAACAAGCATGCAGGTAAGCATGTTGCCTCTACCAGCTGAGGCTCCTCTGCTCACTCCCTTTCTGCCTTCACCTTCCTTGAGTTCTTCCACATCAAACAAAGCACATTCCTGTTTTACACAAGGTGTGCATTAAAGTTGGACATCCCCATCTCAAGACTGCAATATTTTGTGCTGATAGGAAAAAAAAATTAGCACTCCCTTGTTCGTTGAGCAAAATCAAACAAATGAGTGACTTCATGGCAGCAGTCATGACATCATGGAGAGTTGTGAACAGGAGTGCTACCTGTGCTCTGCCCCCCCAAATCTCATCCTCTGACTTCTGCATGAGAGTGGAGATGGACAGTGGTGCTCAAAATCTTTGTGCATTGCAGTGGAAAACTTGAGGTTATATGGGATGTCCTTCCTGATCTGAAACCAGCCTCTTGGGATGAAAGAAAGGGAGGAAACTTACCTGTACAGGGTAGTAAAGAAACCCCTGAGCAGAATGAGTGTGACTTCTCTGACTTGCGATGTGTGTGAATAATACGGAGGCAGTCAGAATTCCACCCCCTTTATCTCCTGGAGTTTAATTTGTTTTGTGCTTTGATTCTTTGTTTGAAAGGTCAGTCTGAATAATGAAACTCAAACATTTCAGGGAAGGTTGTTTTTCAATGTGCGTGTGGTGCTTATTCATGGATGGTGCTTTACAGGAATCAGATAGCATGGGGTTTTTCTCTTCCATTAAACAATCACCAGGAAAAAAATAATGTTGAGAAATTCAGACTTATGGGGCAGGGAGAAAAGCAGAAAGGCTAGATTCAATTTTGTCCATTGCCAAAAGGTGTGATGGTTTTCCTTGTGAACCTGTGCAAGGCAGCATGAACAGCGTTGACTCTTTGCTGCCTGGGATTCTGCATGCTACAGCTGGCTTGCATGAGGTCTGGAGAGCTTAGTGGAAAACAAAGTCGCTTGTCTAATCAGCACGGAGCTTTTAGAAGCCAGGCTGCCAAGAAAGCAAATCTGCTGTGTTGTAATTGCTTACAGCAAGATGTTCTGTATTCGGAGAGGCTGGCTTGCCTGAGGGATGGGATTTTTGTTCTTAGAAGACTCTCTTTTTCCTGTCTCTTCAACTTAGGGATAAGGTTTAGCAAGGCTTCAGTACTTCTCCTTTCCTCAGTGTCCTAGCTTGTTAAGTAATACTAATGGTAAGGTGTTTTTTAAGGCGCTCGGAGATCTCACTGAAAAGTGTCTTTTGTATGAGAACGTGCACTGTATTTCTTCTTCCGTTAACTTTTCTAACATGCAGCATGTGCCAGCAGGCACCAAGGGGTCAGTCTGTCTCCTTCCTAAGCGAAATGCCTGTGCTACTCCAATTTAAAACAGTGATGGAGAGAGGTGAACTCTCCTTTCTTGGCCGCTGATAATCTGTGCTCAACTTTTGTTTCCCTGTGTGTGTCATGTGATTTAACTCTGGCACCCCAAATTGGAAGGGAGGGGGGAGTGGGCATGGCTTTTCAGTATGAAATTGCTGCCTGTGGATGCTATAGTGTTTCCAGTGGCTGCTAGAGCTGTTTCTAGGAAGGTTCCCTAACCTTCCTGACCTCCTGAATTCATCAGAGGTGCTAGAATCCAGCATAAAAAAGTAAATGCGTAACAGGAAATAGTGAATGCCCACACCCATTTCTTTAATTGTATCATCTTCAAAAATGGCAGTCACCACTAGTTGGCAGATTGACTAGATAAGGTATCAGCTGTCCCTCCTCATCTCCTGGGCGGTCCTGAGCTCTGTGCCAACTGCCAAACTGGCTCTATTCTGCAGGCTGGTGGGCTTTGCTTTTGCACTCTGACGTTGGAGAAGGCCGGAAAAGAATGCAGCTTTCCTGGAGCTTTTGCCATCTCTACAATACTGCGAGTCAGCTTAAGGTCCCATCCTAGCTGATTCTTTGGACCTAGCCTGCCAGCTCAGAGGAAACAAAAGCATCTGCTTGTTGCTGGACATTGCGATAGGGAAGCAGTAGACGTGCCGTGAATGCCAGCAAAGCTCATGGCTCTTCACAGGACAGGATGTGATATCTTTGTGCTGATTCTGGCACGCTAAAACCTTTCCTTTTGCTTTTTCTTAATCCAGCAAGCTTACAGAATGCCTTGTGTTTTCAGGGCTGAAACTACTGTAAGCAGCGAAAGCTGGCCAAGGAAGCGGTGCCTTACTTTCTAGCTCTGGAGCTTCCAAGGTTGTTGGGCAGGCTAGTAATCAGCAGGGGAATGGAGGACTGCAATAAACTTTCTGAAGATGAGGGCTAATGGAGCTCCTTGATTGAGCCTTGCAGAAAGAGAAACTGGCTTCTTTTTTCTTTTTTCTTTTTTTATGTTTTATTTAAAGTATTGAGAGAATCCAGCAGTTCTAGTGGTATGTTTTATCTTTGGGAACTTCATCTCTTTTAAGAAATTTCTGATGTTGAATTAGTGGTAGCAATAAATGGGAGGTGCTATCTTTTGGGGAGGTGAAACAGAAAAACTGATGTGAAACATCTTTCATTTCAAGCTGCTTAACATATGTGAATACCTCATGCATCAAATACTTCCTGGGCTTTTCCAGGCTATAGGCAGGAGACACTACATGAAGCAAAGGGAACTTTATCTGTTGAACCCACCATTCTCTCCGATTCCCACTGCGCTGTCATCTAAGATTTGCTGAGACTGAGCATCATTGCCAACATTTTGTGCTGGTGTTGACACAGGGAAATCCTGTCTCCCACTGCACCCCCGGGAGAACAAGCATCCGATGGATGAGGTGGCCTTTCCTAGGTTAACTGTCTGTCTGGATAACTGCTGTTTAGGGAAGCATGTGCCAGCTGCTCCAGCACTGGGGACAATGTGCTTGGCCAGGAAGTAGCTTTAGGTGCTGTCACCTCTGGTGCTTTATACACAACTTTCCTAGCACTGCTGATTGCCTTTTTTTTTTTTTTTTTTTCCCCCCCTCCTCTCTACTCTCATTGCCCACCTGGTAGAAATGCAGTCCCAGGGCATTGACTCATTCTTCATAAGGGAAGGGGAGAGCAGACATTACTCTGTCCTGTGTATCCCACTCCACATAGGCTTGTCCCATGAGGAGAGAGCAGCAGCTCTTCAGCCCTGCTGTTCCATGAGCTATAAAAATGATTTGACAACTAGGTAGGATGCTCTCACCGGGCAATGTTTCCTTTCTTCCACTTCCCTAACATGGCAGTTTTGGATGCTGCTCCGTGCCCAGCGTCTCCTTATTTTTGAAAGTCCATGAAACCTTGCACTGGATACTTGCCCCGACGTTCATGCTCTTCCCTGCAGTGTTACCTAAACTTAGCTTCCCATCTGTGTAGGAGTGGGAGAGGGTGGCAGGGCGAAGGCTCCTCCTCTTGCCGATCTGTGCCACCTGGCAGCCTTCTGCTTGACTTTCTGGGAATGCAAATTAATTTTTCAGGTAACGATTGAAGAAACAGCCTATCGCTGGAGGCATTGTTGCTTACTGACACTCTGAGGGTGATATGCTTAGCAGAGAAACCTTTTGCTGTCCACAGGCTGGGGAGTGGTGCTGCGAAGCCTGTGCAGCAGGACAAAGTGAAAGGAGTCTCACTTTTGTCTTTCAAATGCTGCTGATGCAGGAACATGTGCTACTCAGCTTTCTTTCAGAAGGCTTTAAAGTTGCTGCGTAACAGTGATTCCTGCTTTTGGCCTTCCTCAGCCTCACCAGTAAGGCAGTAATAAGCACTTTCAAGGAAAAAGTATGGTTTCTTGATCTTCAGGAGGCAGTTTTTAGAGATCTTTGGGTGGGGCTGGCACATAAGCAAATGTGAGCACGTGTTGCTCTAAGATGGGACTGAATCTCATTTCAAAGGAGATGCTTTTGTCTAGGTGGGAGTACTGCACTAGGTAAAAAGTCAATGTAAAACCAGTGAAGGAGTCCTGATTTGGTGAACACATGGTAGTATGGGATGCTGAACCATGAGGTGGAGGCCGTTTCTACTTAGCTTGCCTTGGCTTTTAAAAGAACAAATAATACTGAAACATTTTTTCCTTCCTGTTAAAAAGGCAAAGGAAGTTAGGAGAGAGCATAGTTAGATGAGAACAGGTGAGCACAGAGCAGCTGACTAAGAGGCAGAAAGGAGTTTGTCATCTCCGGGTGGGTGGAAGTGGCAATGCTCATAATGACGTGTCGAGTTTCTTGGTAAAGGTTTGCTCTGGTTGGACAAGCCAGGTGCTTGCCTGTGATTTAAGGCTATTTTTGTGCCCTTACCTTTCCCTCTGTCCTATAGGGGATCTTCAGCAGCACCTGCAGGCCATGTTCATACTGCTCCGCCCAGAAGACAGCATCAGACTGGTAGGCTGGCTTTTGCTTATCTGCAGTTTTGTGAATGGGAAGGTTAAATTCCACTGGACAAATATACCTGTATAACTCGTGAAAGCAGTGGTGTGTGCGTGTTCCAGTGGTTTCATCATCAAATTTGGGGAGACTTCTTTGCAGCCACGAGGAAAGAAAGCAGCCAGTTGTGAAAGCCACTCGGCTTATTTGGTTGTCCAGAGAGACAAATTGTATGACTAGAAAACTCTGCCTTTATTTGATCCAAGTACTAAGTACTTGTGCTCTCAGAAAGTATTGTAACAATTGCCAGAGAAGCTGGGTACATTAACTTGGTGTCCTAGTTAAATCAGGAGTCAGTAACTTATGTCTGACCAGTGTGGACATGTGCCCTGCCCCCTTAGTTCAGCTATATTCCTCACTCTGTGCTTTCCTAAATTGTTGCATCCCAAAAGGCAATGGCTTATAAAGAAGAAGCTTGTAAGATCCCTGTGTAACTACGCTCCCATATTGATCCCTGTCTACCTGCTTTTCTGGGTTGTTGCCTCCTTTAATGATGTAATGAAAATTAAGTGATGCTGTTTATAGTGTTAATATGCTGTCCCAAAGACCTCCAGAAGCTAAAGAGCAGCAATGAGGAATTTACATAGGATTTGCTGAAGTACTCTTCAAGGTTAGGCACGATTGCAATGTCTCTACATGTCTTATCGCTCAGTAGTTTGGAGTTCCTTTCCTGTGTTGTCTTGGTGCATCTTAGCAACGTATGCCCAAAGAAGGTTTGTCAGCATCAGAAGTGTTATTCTGTCACCTCTGGTTTGCAGAAACCTCATGAATTTTGCTGGAGCTGGACTTATCTGATGGTTATACCTAGAAAACAGCCAGGGATGCTACAGAATGCTTTAACTTTAAAAAGTACCGCAGAGAATGTTTTGCCATGAACAATCTTTGTAAGCAAACGGAAGGGCTTACTCCTAAACTTTGTCAGGCCCACCTTGCAGTTGCTAACATTTCAGTGAGGCTGATGGGAATGGGGGTTCACAGTACTTTGCAGAATCAGAGCCAGGGTTAGAACATTGGAAGCTATTGAAGAAGTCATTGTTCAGCAATATCACTGGCTACATTGTGTGATTTGGGACAAATTAGCCTTAACAGCTGAATAAGGACTTTGTGGGCTGAGACATAAACCCTTTTGTTCAGAGCTGCATTTGGAATGCTAAAATCTTGCATGAGGTTAAGTTTGATAGTCTACTTGAATCTAATTGATTCTTGACGAACGAAGGGTGTGCAGAGCTGCAATAGACTCTCTCATAAAATAGTAGATACAAATAAGATTTGAAATATAAACAGTACTGAGAGAAACGCCTTCTCTTCTTGTGTTGGCTGCTGTCATTCAGAGGGCAACAGAGGAATCTAATCCTCTATAAACCTACACTTAGATTTTGGAACAACTCTTGTTTCTGTTGGAGCTATTGGCAGAGCTTTTGCAGCCTTTCATGAGAGCAGGATCAGAGCAATGGTACCAGTGTAAGGATCAGCATGAAAGGGGGAAAATGGGTTAGAAGTGTACAAATTGATTGAAAGTACTCCTGGAACTTTGCAGAGTGGCAAGCTGTTCACTTATGCGTTTAATAATGTCAAGAAACAAGACTTCTGACAGTTGTCTTTTTTTAAAATTTTTGGTCTTCAAATCAGATATCCCAGTGAGCTTCTTGTACGAAGCGCTTACTGTCCTGTAGCATGAAAAAGATGAAAGATCAGTATGGGCTTGCCTGTTGGAATGTGCTGTTGATAAGCATTGATAGAATATCACATGATACTTTTGATGAAACAAAATTGCAGCAGAAGGTAAAGTCGGGTTGTGTGTAGGTAAAACTAAAAAAAATTTGCTAGCTCTGGAAAGACTACAGAGGATGTCTTGTGCATAAACAGATTATAAATAACTTCCTCAAACTGAGGAGAAAGCTAGCTCTGTGTAGATGAGCTGTTGAGAAAGACCCTTCCATCTCATGACAGTCCCTGAAGCTAGGCCACCCTCCATAGATTGACTGTGATTTCAAATATCTTCACTTAAAAGGCATCAGACCCTTTAGCTAATGGTTGTGCCCCTCCTGTTGGGTGAGCATATAAGCTAGTGCTTAATGAAAAGGTTAGAGACCAATTTCTGACTTGATGGGTAATTTTTGAGATTGGCTGGTCTAGAATGTAAAGTTTACTGTTTTATTATTCTCATAAATTTAGCAAAATGCATTATCTGCTCCAGTGATGGTTCTTTGCTTTGTGGGAAGGGTGTAAGTGTTGGCTCCACCCAGTGACTTGAGGCTACATGACCTTTGGCCGCTGTTTGGCTAGCCCTGTTCTAAAGGGTCTTGCATTAAAACCACACTTCTAATTACTGCTAGCCAAATTGGTTTAGCAAAGTAAGTTAGATTATGCTAATCCTCTTGCTCCTGGACTGGCCTCAAGAGAAGTAGAACAAAACTCGTGTGTTCATGCCCTGGACACAGGGCAGCTCCTGGCCAGCTGCTCCGGTTTCAGGGAAGTCTTTGTTTCTATTTGAGGTTTGGATCCTAATGTAGGTAATGACTTTAACCACCAAGACCTTGGTGATTGCTTGCTCGCTCTTGTAGGCTGAAGAGCACCCTTTCTGTTTTGCTACAAGTGGTTAGTTGTAGAAACAGCTGACTTTGGCAGAATTCGCACCGGGAAGGCCTGACCTCTTTGATCCTCTGTGTTTCCAAAGGAATCCCAGTGATTCAAGGAGTAAGAAGGAAAAGAAGGCTGGTTTTAGCATGACTTATCCTAAAGAGATGGGGTGAGGCACAGTCTCTCGCTGTACAGAGCACATCTGTCTGCTGGCGTCAGCATTTGGGTAGTTTCCGTTGGTCTTCAGTCCTATTGGACGAGTCTAGAAAACGCAGTCAATGCTGTCTCCTGCCTGCACTTGCTGTTCCACCCTCATCACCAGAGCTGCTGCACTGGGAGGCTTTCCCCACTGCGCTCAGCATAGTCTCCTGCGATAGAGCACTTGTGTGAAAAAGCAAGCTCTGTTTTGAGCTTGCTGTTTTAACCTTCACTGTAGATTCTGCCACATCTTGTGGTAGAGACTGACTATCTAGTGGATGGGCAAGGTGTGAAGGAGGTAAGAATGGGCTTCCTCTAAGCTAGGAGATGCCATTCTGGCCTCAAGGGCACGTTAGAACAAACTGCCAGGCAAAAGGAGCAGGACTGGGAAAGGCAGCCTGCTTGTGAGAGGTCTTCCCATGCAATAGTTATCTTGTGAGCTTTTTTTTTTTTTTCTTAGGGTAAAATGGCTATTTAGTGCAGGCCCTCTGATCCCTGAACTGCCACGATCTTCCAGGGAGGGGTCTGAGCAAGCAGTGGCTTGGGAGGGCTGCAGTAGGGCTGCTGGGTTTGAGGAAGTCAGGTGTTTACGAAAGATGTCAAGTACTGATTCTAGCTTAAACCATTCAGTCATGAGGAATTCAACAACTGGGTCTCATCACGACAGACAGATATATCTGTCTAGAGCCCAGGGTGAGCTGAGGCTGTGGCACTTTTCTCATCCGTGTTTGGTCTCTGCAGGCCCTGCTCAAAGTTCAAGAAGCAGGTTAACAATAAGGTAAATGCTGAAACTAGACAGCGTTTCAGGGTTAGGTTAGGCTGTCCAAAGCAAAGTTAAGATTCAGTATACATAATTAAGACACTTCCTTTCTAGGGATGTCCTAGTTTTTCTAACTGGGGATCCTTTGACTAAAACCCCTGTTCCTGCAAATGGCTTGGAACAGAGTCCAAAAAGTGTTGCAAGTGAAAATTGCTTACTGCAGATGTCTATGGGCAAAGCTTACAGAGCCAGACGCACCGCTTGTCTGGGCTCCCTTCCCCTGGCTCCTTGCTGAGCAGCAGTTTGTCCTTAGGAGGTCTTGCTTGGGCCACTTGAATTCTCCGTTCCTCTTGGCTTCTGGAAGTGCACTGCACTTTGGTATAGCCTTTCTGGAACTTGATGTTGATCTGATGCTTGCAACTTAGCCAGACAGCTGCTATCTGAGCACTGGCAGTAGTATTTGGTTCAGAGGGAAAATTCAGGCATCTGCCAGTCCCACTAGATCTCTCTTTTGGCAATGGGGTACCCGTGGTAGGGATAGGAGCAATTAGGCACAATGACTTTCACCTCTTCTGAGCAATCTGAATCCAACTGTGGATACAGCTTAATGGTAGGGAAATTTTCTTTTCCTGCCAGGTATAAGACAGTAGGGTTACTTCTGCACTGGAAAGCTGCTTGACAAATTCAGAGGGCCAGTGGGAAACCACGTATCAATTAGACTCTAGTTGTCTGCCCAGCTGTCTAGGATGTTGGTGGAAGGAGTCTTGCTGGAGCTATTGTTACACACAGGAGAATAAAGGAAAGCTCTGATTCTTTGAACAAAGCCTTCTGTGAGATGAAGAGCTCATTCAACACCCGTCTCGCTGAATGCTTAATGCTGCATGAAGCTACCTAGGCTGGGACCAGTCAGAGGACTGTGGCAGCCAGCTGTATAGGCTGCTGTTTAAATGAAGCCTTGCTGGGACAGACCAGTCCTGCAGGAACAGTCACTGGGAACATCCCAAATGTTGAGGAAAAGTATTCTGTGTAAGTCATTTCTCTACTGATTGCCTGGCTGAAAAGTCCTGGCCGTCCATACTAGTGCATACTGCATCGCTGCTTCTTTGCCTGTCACTCAGCATGGAAAGATGACTTGTAAACGTAACAGTGTGCCTTTTGCTGGCTGCACTGCTGATCTGTCTTCTTTGTTTCTTAGGCTGTAAGACTGGAAAGTACGTACCAGAACCGCACAAGATACATGGTGGTAGTATCCACTAACGGCAGACAAGACACCGAGGAGAGCATTGTTCTAGGGATGGATTTCTCTTCCAATGACAGGTACTCAGTGTCTGGGTGGGGGAAATCTTTGTGTTCCCCTAGATGTGTAGAAGCCACTGTCTGGTGTCCATGCTTTTTTGGGGATAGACTGCTTCAGGTTTTCCAGGCCGACATCTTTCTCCAGGCTCAGAATGTCCTTTTTTGAAAGGAGATAGAAAAGGAGAGAGAAGGGAATAATTCTGAGATCTTGTTGGTCTCTGAGGTTCGTTGGCAGAACGCAGCTTAGGCCGCACGGGAGCGGCATAGGTCAGCGTTTCCTCCATTCCTCAGTGCCTCGGGCTTGTGTGAAGACATTAAGTACTTGAAGTGATCTCTGAATGGTGAGGCCCCCAAGCCCTGCATCTGTGCACCAGAGAGAGGGAGACAACTCACCTGCGAAGAGACAAAAAGCTGCAATTAGAGAAGCTGCACATCAGGGTTCAGGAGAGCACTTAATAAGAGAGTGACTATGAGGCAGCCCCTTGCCAAAGTCATGGCACAAAGGGCCTGATGGGAATGTCAGGGTTGCTGATGGCAGATGTTACACAACATGTGCTCTCCCCAGACATTAGTATGTCACCAGGGTTTAGTGCTTTTGCTTCATTCGTTCAAATTGCTGCTGACCTCTCCAAAGGGCTGCAGGATGTGCCTGGGAAGCAGCTTTTGCTGCTGGAGTGACTGGAAGCCAGGAGGCAGCTTCAGCCGGCAGCCTTGGGGACAGACGCGTCAAGTTTAGAAGGGGACATTGGACTCTCTTTGGAGAGGGCAAAAGGGCACGGAGGGACACGGCTCTTTAAAAATATATAAGTAAATCTTGACCTAGGTGAGAAAAGAAGAATGTGGGTATTCAACCCATTTTGGAAATTTTCATGCACATGCTTGTTTCTAGTCCTTATCTTTAAGCACAGCTGTGCTACAGGAATTAATTTTGCTACTAATCCTAATTGAAACAAATTACTTTCAGGGAGTTAGTAGGGTCACTAGAAACTTTTTGAACCGTTTGGCTAACAAACGATGACCCTTCAGGCAACCTGCTGCTAATCACGACAGCCACCATGCTTAATTTCAAGCAGCTTGATTTGAATTCTTAGCTCAGGTGATCCCTGCTGGAAATGGGGACCAGCCTGATGCTGCCACTGGCTCCCAGGTCCATTCCTGTACACGTGTGTACAGCTGTAGCTCAGAGATGCTCTCAGTATAGGAATAGTAGTATAAGAATAACTTGTCCTTGCACAGGGTGCTGCGAGCTTGAAGCCTGCTATTGGCTGTGATATACCCACACAGGCACCCTTGATAACTGAGAGCTCGTTGGCATTCAGTCTCTAATAACGTAGCAGGGTCGTTTTTAGCTTTCTCCTAGAGTTACTTCAGTTCTGGATGGTCAGTCTGATACACCCTCCCCTAGCCCACTCAGTATTTATAACTCAATTTAGACTTGTTGCTATGGACTCTGATAAGCGCTTGCTGAAAAGTATCACTAAAAATACCCTGGCCACCTTGGAAGCCTTTTAAAAACATGACTTTCCATGAGCTCATCTCATATAGTCAACAGAAATAGCTGCATGCTGTATTGTCTCCTTGTGCTGGGCATCAGTCAGTCCGAAGCATGCGTGTTTAACAGGACTTCACGTGTGCTAAGCCCCTGAAGCCTCCGTTCTTGCCCTCTTCCCCCACCTCTCCTGAGCTGCAGCGACCAATGTGGGTGTTAGGGATCGTAGGAAATTTGAGAGCCGCTAGTGCAAAGCATTAGAACAGGAGATGATTGAATCTGATTCTTTTTTGATGTGTGCTGCTTTGATTATGGGCTGGTTTACAGCTTTATGAGATTCAGCCTTTTTGTTTGCCAACCGGATGCAGGTTGTGTTGAGGTTCCCCCACCTCTGCCTTTTTCCATCACTTGACTTCTGCTTTTAACTTGGCCTTTTCTTCAGCCTCGCAGAAAGCAGGTGACTACAAGGGCAAAGAGGTCAAAGCAACTGAGAGAAGAGCGGGATTGCCAAGAGATGTCCGTCTTGGCTGGCTGCGGTGCTTGGCTTCTAGGTGTGGGAGGGGGAGGAGGGGCAGGAGTCAACAGCGGGTGATACGCTGTGCCTGTTAACCTGCCCTGCTGACAGTCACCCCAGCATTGCATTACACCGACCCTTGTTCCCAGCAGCTGTGGCTGAGGGGCTAGCAGAAAAACACAGCTATGGATTGGAGTTGGAGCCAAGCCACTTGAGCCTGAGAGGGGCTAATCTATAAAGAAAGCTTTGAGCTGACCGAAGACTGTGAGCCTCCTCTGACCTGCTGAGAGCTCACTGCTTCTAAATCCTGTTTGCTCTTCTTCTGGGTGTACGTTAACCCTATAAGCTTGCTTGAAGGAGTACTGGTGTACTGTATCTGGTTAATAATCCCTGCCAGACACCTGTAGGAAACAACACTGGCCCTGTTTGTCTGAAGCAACAGTGGGATCTATTCATTTTTTTTCCTAATGAATACAAACATCTGCAACCATTCCTGTGAAATTAGAGTAATTGTGTGGCGCTATAGTAGATGGCCTGACCTTCTCTTTCTTATTACAGTAGCACTTGTACGATGGGTTTGGTGCTGCCACTGTGGAGTGACACCTTGATCCACCTGGACGGGGATGGGTGAGTGTTTTTTATATGTTCTAGGTCAACAGCAGAGAGGCTGCAGGTTGCGTTAGCTGGGAACGTTGTGTATGGAGAAGGATTTAAATGATTTCAGAGCCCTGGCAGGTCCATCAGGCCTCCTGCTGTTGACCTGTATCGGGTTAGGAGGCTCACAGGCCCTGAATCACAGTAGTTGTGGCAGGGAACCCCAATAATTGACTTATCTATGAATAAATATGCAGTGAGACAGTGGCTCATGTGTGTGTTTAAGCTGGAGTAAAGGAGCTTTTACTGGTGAGTGGGTGTGTAGTGAAAGCTTCTTACAGGGATCCTATTATGTGTTCCTCCACAGCACTTGCAGCAGCAAGCGTTTTGCTGAATATAAAGTAAGAATGATGTTTCTCTGCCAAATAGACACCTGACTTGCAAACTCCTGTTTGTGCCAGTTACAAAGGCTGTCCAGTGCAGCCCTTGGAATGACTTTTCCTTCCTTGGTAGCTGCCCCAGGATGACTTTAGCTGCACTCTCTTGCTCCCAGCTGTGGTGCTGAATTTGTGTTGCCAAGGTAAACAGCACACCCAAGTGCTGTCCTACTGTCTTGGTTTCATTCCTGAACAGTGGCTGCTTAAAAAAAGTGTCATCTTAGAGCTTTTAGTGTGCTATTTTGATCTGTTCGCTAGCTGAACTCAGTAAAGCACGTGTATGCATAGGGCTGGTCCTTTGCTCTTCTGATGTGCTACAATTGGTTATTAGCTGAAAAGCTGTTTTGGGGACATGTTTTTACTGTGCTTCTTTTCTTCTCTCCAGCGGGTTCAGCGTATCGACAGATAACAGGGTTCATATATTCAAGCCAGTGTCTGTACAGGCAATGTGGTAAGCACTTACTATAATCTGTCCCAGCGATCCTTTTTCCAAGGTGTTTTGGCTGCTTGGCCTTTTAAAAAGCAGGTGCTGCTTTGCGTTATTGGTTATTGCTTGAGACTTACTCAGGCAGCCAGAAGTCTCCTTCAGAGACAGAGAAGGGAGCTTGATACCAAAGTAAAAATACCTGCAGCTGCTGGTATACAGCATTGAGCTTATAATACTGCGGTAGCCATGCCTTCATCTGAAGTGGAGATGGGAAGGAATAGGGTGATTTTCTTTGCAAAGGGCTGCTGCTTTGAACGTCTCTCCAAAGCAGAATTTGCTATTGATATGGGTGTGTTTGAAAAACAACTGAATATTTTTTATTCATCATAAAAAAAGAATTATACACTGCATGTATTTTAGGAGCCTCTGCCTCCAGTGAGATATGCTCATTGTGATAGCAAGTAGAGAGAAGCTGCCTGCATTTTTCTTTCCTTTTAGGGTGGTTCGCGTTAGAATGTAGCAGCCATCTGGCTCAAGCTTCTTTGCATTGCAGAAATACGTCCCCTGTCAGGATGTCATGCTTCTGTGTCACCCAGTGATTTTGACCTGGATCTTTCTGATCCCAGTCAAAGATTTAAAACGGGCTAAAAATAGGAGAGGGGGATTTGTTTCCCAGCAGCAGCTGAAGAAACTTCTAACATCCCTCTTGCAGTGAGGGAGGGCAGACACCTAACTGCTTCACTGGAGTCTCGCCCTAAACCCTTGGGCGCGCAGCTCTCCATGTCTAGTTCTTGGGTGTCTTTGCCCTGCACGCAGGGGAGCAGATGGCACCGTAACGCGGACTTGTCGGAGCAGCCTGTATTGGAGACAAACTCTGTGCATCTTAATCATGGCTCAGGCAGTTGCAGCAGTTTTCAGAGCCGAAGAACACAGGTGCCTCCCTGAGTTGTGGGCAACTTTGCTGCTGTCCAGGCCGAGCAGCAAGGCCTTGTCTTAGTGTGCTTTGGCGGGGACGTGCAGGCTCTTGCAGTGTGTGGTAACCCAGACATGCTGCTATAAATGTACCCTTGCAGGGCACCCTTCTGCTCAGATAGCTGTGGGAGCTGCTGCACATAACACGGGGGTCTGTACCGACTGATGGCGCTCGAGCAAGATCCCGGGTTTGGCTGCTGCATTGTGCTCAATACCATCCTGAGGAAGAAATGATAATGCTGCAGGTATTTTTTCCTTTCTAGGTCTGCTCTGCAGAGTTTACATAAGGCTTGTGAGGTAGCCCGGAGTAACAACTACTACCCAGGGAGCCTCTTCCTTACGTGGGTCAGTTACTATGAGAGCCATATCAACTCCGACCAGTCGTCAGTCAATGAATGGAATGCCATGCAAGATGTGCAGTCCCACCGGCCCGACTCGCCTGCCCTCTTCACAGACGTGTAAGTTGGTTTGGCTCTGCTGAGCTGTCAGCAGTGCAGTCTCCAAAAGAGGAGACCAGGAGACCGTTGCCACAGGGGATCGCTCTTAACTAGGTACTAATGTGAGGAGGCTTCCTGCTTGAAAAAAAGCTGAGATATAAAAGGACCCCTGGTTAGGTAAACAGTGCTGGAAGATTTGCTCTCCTGGGGCTGAGGTTTGTCTCCTCCTACCTCTGTTTTCATTCTGGTTGTACAACCTCTAGTTGCTTACCTGTTACCGTATTGCTCTCAGCTCTTTGCTTCTGTGAAATTAGTCCCATGTTACTAGTAAGAGGTAGGTGGGGCGTCTTGGCCAAACACTGGAGGCATCTGCCATAGCTGAGGCTAGAACGTAGGCCTTCCTGTTTGCTAGTTTTGTCCGCTGATTCCCAGCCCTTGTGTCTCCTGGAAGAAACAGGTTTCTCTGGACTTTGCTTTCACCCTGGAGCGTGTCTAAGCGCACTGATGAGTATAACACGGTCCTTTTTCCTTATTCAGTTCATTTTGCAGGAAAGTGAAGTGTTTAGGCATGGACTGCTGAGACTGAGCTCAGAAGCATCCTCTCAGGCATGCAGCGAACGCACCTGAGAATGGGGAGAAAGAGCAAAGCAGCGATTCTTGGCTCTGGGGAGTTTTATAAGTGTGAAACAGCAGCATATAGGTCCCACACTGTCTCCAGCTAAACGCTCGGATGTCTGGTGGTGTATGGTCCAAAACAGTGGCTGATATAGATGTGTAGACAGTTTAGACAGGCACGATTTCTAGGCTATACCAACATTCAAGAGCTACAACCCCTGTAATTAGTAATTGGTGGTGGTAGTGATACCGTATAACCTCAAAGTAGTCTGTGTCCAGGTGTGATGCCAAGCACAAGGAGTCAGTCGCCCTGTTTGCAGTAGAGAGCCGCTTTCCTAGCATAATAGTGCCATTGGTTGATTTATGCTCTTGGGTGTTTCATGTTGTTGGAGTTCAGAGAGTGAATAATAACGCAAAGGCAGTAGTTCAGCTTTGAACAAATCTTCACGCTTGATTGTTTTTTAATGTACAAGTAAGGGAGCTGAAAAGTTTTGGCAGGTTTTCAGATTAATATTCTCTTTAACTTTTCGTATATATACTTTGTGTAATACACCCTTCCCCAGTGGCAGGAGTTGAGTGATTTCCTGGGGATACCTAGACAGCACTCTCTTAATCAAGTCCTGAAATAATGCTTGTGGGAGAAGGACCAGGAACTCTTTTTATTTGTGAACCACCAGTTGAAGAGGAGTTGTAGTTGCTTCTAAAAGCAGAAGTATCTGTGCATTTACCATCCTGGCAGCCTTCCAGAAAGACAGAAAGGTGGTGTGAGATGTTAACTGCTGGGCCCCTTCTAACCATGATGGGTGAGCCAGCTCTGTGCTGTTGCTCTGTTGCAACTTCCCCTGGTGTTAGGCTATTTTTGCAGCTGGTGATAAGGCCCCTGGCAGCAGAGGCTGGAGGAATGCACAAAGGCTTAGCTGCCCTCTCCTCTCCATGTAAGGAGCTTTGGAGCTGTTACCTTTCCAAGAAAGGTAGGGGGAGGCTTAGATGTTGCTCCAGTGAGTATAATGCAGCCTTCCTAATTTAAATTTTACCAAATACCAGAGGTTCTCTGGATGACTACATTGGGTTAGGTGCATTCAGTTGGTCTCTGTTTCACATATTATACTGGGAATACAGACTGGGCTTTACAGTCACCTGAATTCTTCCCAGTTGAGGAGCTGTCTGGGGGAAGTGGCTTGAGTGTGTGAGACTCTGCAGAGTATCCAGTGTAAACAATACCAGTTTAAGCAATGCCACGAGTCCAGTTCGTTTCCCTTCCCTGTTGACCCTCTGTTGTTTTCTTCTGATAGCCCAACAGAGCGGGAGCGCACAGAACGACTGATTAAGACCAAGTTAAGGGAGATCATGATGCAGAAAGATTTGGAGAACATCACATCAAAAGAGGTGAGTGGTAGAGGAGCAGCAGTAGAAGTGCTGTTGCACAAAGTAGGGAGCTCTATGTTTTATGCCATGAGGAAACACTAGAGGAAAAACACGTGGCTTCCTTGTTGTCTTCACCCAGATACGCACAGAGCTGGAGATGCAGATGGTGTGTAACCTGCGGGAGTTCAAAGAGTTCATTGACAATGAAATGATAGTGATCCTTGGGCAGATGGACAGCCCCACTCAGATATTTGATCATGTCTTTTTGGTAAGTTTAAGAGCGAGTTCAAGAGTTACACCTGTAAACACACCTTATGCTTCTCGCCACATCTTGGTTGACACAGGGGCCTCTGGAGGAACTTAAAGGAAGTCTGAAGGAGAGGTTGGCCCTTCCTGGGGTCATGTACTCTTGAGCAAGACGTAAGACAGTAGTGTTGTTGAACAAGAGCTGCCTGGCTTCTTGGCTGTCCTAAACTTTGCCTTATAGCCCCAGCCAAGCTGCAGTCCCTGTCACTAGAGGGTGAAGGGGGAAAAAGTCTTAATTTTCAACTTCTTTGCAGGGCAAAGAAGTCCATTGACAGAAAACCAGTTTTTTAGTTCTAACAGTACAGATGTCCAATTTTTGGAGTGTGTGTGTCTTTGGGAAGGGCATAACTGTTATGGGAGCTGTTATGGGGGCTTATGTAAGATTCAGGTGGAATTACACTACCTGTAATATGGAAAACTCTTAAGTTCATGTCATCTAGGGGAACAGAGGAGTTTCACAAAGAATCCTGGAGATCATCCACTTAAGGCAATGCAGAGGTTTCGCCTTTTAATGTTTTCTTGTTTAGTTGCCTTTCATTGCTGCTGGAGCCTGTCTAATTACCCCACCTCCTTCTGGTGAGTCAGCGCTCCACTGGATTTCCCAGCCCTGGAGCAACGGACACTGGTTTTGTGGGGCCGTCTAGCTTATGAGGTTGACTCAGCTCTAAACGAAGCCAGTCCTCTTGGACCAGCTGGCCTGTCCAACCTGAGACAGCCTCTCCCAGTCTCCTGAAGTTTAGTGCCTTCCCGTGGCTCCGAAGGGATAGTATATGTTAATGCGAGCGCTCCCAGGAAATTGTAGTGGGGTAGAGCCAGGAAAGTTAAAGTACCCCTGCGGCCTCATGGTTTTGTGCAGACTAGATGTTTTTCAGAGAGATGTGTTACAGGCTTACAGCACTAGTCAAAAGCAACACAGGCAGTTTGGTCATCTGCAGAGATATGAGCCTTGGCTTAGAGTATGGTTAATGAGAACAAGACATGAGAAAAAGGCTCACAGGCAGCACTGTGGAGAAGCGCTGTGGCTAACAGTTGGAATAGATGTGTTTGCAAGGCAGGCCTCTGCGGTGAGGACCAGTGCTGACTGGGCAGCAGCTTGATTCAGGAGCTTGTATACTGCAAGGCAGAGTTTGTACAGTGAGTTCTCTGGGAGGCATGAGGCTGTTTCTTTCAAGGTACAGGCAAGAGCCCTGTGGGATCCCACTTAGGGAGTGCTAAAATGGCTAAACAGGGCTCTGTATCCCTTCTCCAGATTGTGCACGGCTCTGGACTTTGCTGGCGCTGACCTGATCTGTTGCTGAAGGCAATGGATTCTATTGAAAGCTGGATCACCAAGGCAAGAAACATTTGCCTTTGTCCTGCTCAAAATTTAGAGTTCCATCTGTGCTGAACCCTTGAATGATGTCCTCATTTTGATGATTTCTCTTAAGAAGTGGTTCCATTAGGGAGAACCAGCTGCTTTTGGTTTGTTGTATTCCTGAAGTGCCAGGAAAAGACAACAGACTTGTCCCCAGTAGCTTCCAGAAAACTAACATAGTCCTTTGCTGGGTCACAGAATCACAGAATGGTTGAGGTTGGAAGGGACCTCTGGAGATGATCTAGTCCAACCCCCCTGCTCGAGCAGGGTCACTTAGAACACGTTGCCCAGGATTGTGTCCAGACAGCTTTGGAATATCTCCAGGGAAGGAAACTCCACTACCTCTCTGGGCAACCTGTTCCAGTGCCTAGTCACCCTCACAGTAAAGAAGTTTTTCCTTATCTTAGATGGAACTTCCTGTGTTTCAGTTTGTGCCCATTGCCTCTCATCCTGTCGCTGGGCACCACTGAGAAGAGTCTGGCCCCGTCATCTTGACGCTTTCTCTTCAGATACATATACACATGGATGGAATCCCCCCTCAGTCTTCTCTTCTTCAGGCTAAACAGTCCCAGCTCTCTCAGCCTTTCCTCATATGAGAGATGCTCCTAGTAGCCCTTCTCTGGACTCGCTACAGGAGCTCCATGTCTCTCTTGTACTGGGGACCCCGGAACTGGACACAGTATTCCAGGTGCAGCCTCACTAGGACTGAGTAGAGGGGGAAGATTACCTCCCTCAACCTGCTGGCAACACTCTGCCTAATGCAGCCCAGGATGCCTTTAGCCTTCTTGGCCACCGGGGCACATTGCTGGCTCGTGATCAAATTGTCCAGCGGGAGTCCCATGTTCTTTTCTGCAGAGCTACTTTCCAGTAGGTCAGCCCCCAGCCTGCACTGGTGCATGGAGTTATTCCTCCCCAGGTGCAGGACCCTGCACTTGCCTTTGTTGAATTTCATGAGGTTCCTCTCTGCCCATCTCTCCAGCCTGTTGAGGTCCCTCGCAATGGCAGCACAGCCCTCTGGTGTATCGGCCACTCCTCCCAGTTTAGTATCATCAGCAAACATGCTGAGGGTGCACTCTGTCCCTTCCTCCAGGTCATTGATGAATTATTTAAACAATACTGGACCCAGTATTGACCCCTGGGGGATGCTGCTAAATACAGGCCTCCAACTAGACTCTGTGCCATTGATCACAGCTCTCTGAGCTCTGCCATCCAGGCAGTTCTCAGTCCCCCTCACCGTCCACTCATCCAGCCCACACTTCCCGAGTTCCCCTATGAGGATGGTATGGGAGACGATGTCAAAAGCTTTGCTAAAGTCCAGGTAGACAACATCCACTGCTCTCCCCTCATCTACCCAGCCAGTTGTCCCATCATATGAGGCTATCAGGTTGGATAAGCATGATTGCCCTTTGGTGAATCCATGCTGACTGCTCCTTCTTGTCCTCCACATGCTTAGAGATGGCCCTAGAAATGGGTGTGTGTGTACATCGTGGTGCAGGCTGTGTATGCTCAGGATTTTTCTGCGGGTGCTGTCAGGGATGCAAGTGCGTTGCCCCACATCAGAGATCTTTTGACTGGAGAAGCTGACCTCGTTTCAAACTCGGGGTGCCTGTGCATGCTTCCTGGGGCAAGCAGCAACCCATCCACTGTGCAGACATCGCGAGATGTGTGCCTGACTGGGAGGTTCTTGCCTTTGGGCTGGCCAGGCTTGCAGGCGGACAGTGGGTATGGTCCAAGCGCTGGTTCACCCTGGCCAGGCCTCTCCTGTCCCCGAGGCAGTGTAAAGCCTGCACCGTGGGAGCAGGCCTGAGCAGTGCTGTTGTGCTGCTGCTGCTACCTTCTTTCTCCTTCCATCTGAACTGTCTTTCCATTTAGGAGCTATTTAAGGCAGGGAAGCAGATAACTTGTGCACCTTGATTTTTAAAGGAAACCCTTGTCTGGACTGCCTTGTCCTGCGTGAGGGCTTATGTGTTTGGGCAAGCAGCTTGGCTGGGAGGCCTGGTGGGCCCTGCAGAGGAGAGGGTTAGCTAGCCAGGATTGAACACATTTGTTTCCCTGCTCCAGCAGACTTGGAGTATGAGGAGAAGAGGTGTGACCTAAGTGAGCTTACAGAGTTGCGACCTTTGATGTGTGAGATGGGTGTTTCATGTATAAAGAGCACCTGGATAGTTTTTAAGCACAGGCAGTCTCTCTTCTGTGGGGCAGAGCTGGCAGCAGCAGCCTCCAGGGAAAGGGTGGAGCGCTCTCATCTTTGCTGAAGTAGATTTCTCAACGCTTTGCAGGAAGTGCCTGCGTACGATGCTGGGCTCAGCTTTGCAGAGTTGCCTGTTGCTTCAGAAAGGCTAACAGAGCGAGATAAGGTGCTGACCATGAAGGCATCAGCCCTGTTACCACTCTTCTGCGTACCCTTTCCTCGAAAGACCCTTGCGCTCCAGCACGTGCCTGGGCAGCTTCCTCCTGGCAGTCCCTGGTGACTGCCCCTCCCTCTGTCGGTTTTTTGGTTGTCTCTCCGTGCCTTCCTTGTGGGTGATGTGTCCTTTTGCATGTTTTCCCTGCAGGGCTCGGAGTGGAACGCCTCCAATTTGGAAGACTTGCAGAACAGAGGGTAAGTAGCTTCAGGCCATCAGCTTAAAAGCGAGGGCCTGGCCTCGCTCATTGTCTGTGCAACAAATTCCATCCCAGAGCTGCTGTGTAACCTGACTCGTACAAAGGGCTTGCAGATCTGAACAGGCTGACAATCTGCTGCTCTCTCGCTTCTTCCAAACCCTGCTTTCCACAAACAGGCACCCTAAAGTAAAAGAATCTTGTTCCCTGACCTTGACTAACATCCCCTTGGCAAACAAAGGAAGCCAGCCATCTCATAGCAATAAGTAGCAGAAAGCTACAATTACTTAACTGCTGCGTTGTTGGCTCTGTGCCCTTTGCTCAAGCCCGCTGTGCTGGACTGAGGCCTCAGGATTACAGAGGCACTTTGGAGTCTGGACTTCTGGACTGCATCAGGAAGGGAAATGTGTAAAAGAGCGTTTGTTCCCTTGAGAGGGACCCAGCGTCTGTAGGAAATAAAGTCTGTAGCTCTTGGGCTTAGCATTGATAGGTTCCTCTGCCTTCTGCCGTTGCCACCTTTCAGGCTTAAGGGTAGGGTATCCTGCTGTTAGGCCAGGTGGATCTACGTACAAGGACTTGTAATTGAACCGTTATTTGCAGGTTTAGTTTGTTTGGGCCAATCCAATGGAAAAAAAAAAAAAAACTAATCACTCTGCGAAACTGAATTGTTAGCATACTCAGCACCTTGGATAACCAGCCTAGCAAAACTGATTCCCCTCATTCAGTGAAGGGTCTGCTGCAGTTACCTTTTGTTCAAAAAAAAATAGGGAAAAGGGATGTTGTTCCCTTGCAGTGCTCTTGTTCCATCTGATGCCCCGGCACGTGTAGTTCATAAGCATCTCACAACTGACCTATGGGGCTAGAGGTACTAGATGTAGTGCGCATAAATGCACTGTGCTTTCTTTAGCAATTTTCTTTCCAAAAAGTTTAGGGAGAAGAAATAAATGCTCCCCAATGGCTGATTACCTGCTATATCTCTCTGTGGTTTGCCTAACTATGATATTGTTTGTGAGCTTGTGCCTTCAGTCTTCCTATGCTGTTGGTACAGCAGGAAGAGGTTCACAAAGGCCCTTTGAGAAGGGGTCCAAATACTAAGTGAAAAGGCTGTACAGGAGTTCCTGTGGCACAAGTGTTGCTAATGCTTAAAGTAGGGAGATGGTGAGCGAGCGGAGCAGCCTGATAGACTCTACATGAGTTATCATTTCTGTCCAGGATGAATAGAAACCTTTTTGTCTAGGCGAGGCTCTAAATTGCTCAGCAGAACCTTTTTGCTTGGGTTTGCTACTACCTCCTTGCCCTAACTCTTTATTTCCAAGGAAGCATGTTCCAAACTGCGATTTCGAATGCTTTAAGTTTTGCCAGTCTGTTGTCTAGCAGCTGTGATATCTCTCTGACCTCACTGTGTTTTGCACACTCTGCATTTTTGTGTGCTCTCTGTTTCCATGCAGGGTGCGGTATATTTTGAATGTGACTCGAGAAATAGATAACTTCTTCCCAGGGCTCTTTGAATACCATAATATTCGGGTATATGATGAAGAAGCAACAGATCTTCTGGCTTACTGGAATGACACCTACAAATTCATCTCCAAGGCAAAGTAAGTCTGTTCGGAACACAACAAACGCATTTAGAAAATATATACTAGGCGTTTAGTATTTTTCTGCTGATTTTTCTCAGCTACTTTCCTCCTTGCATAACTAAGAACAAAGCATTTTCATTTTGTAAGTGTGGCAAGTGTAAGTGTGTAAGTGTTAAGAGTTGCCTACCACAAGTCATTATGTTTGTGAGTGCTTGTATAAGGAGCAGGTAGGACCAACGAGGGGTTTCTGCCCAGCTGCAGTCCAAGCAAATCGTGGAGGAGATCATTCCTGTACTAGACAGCTCATAGTTCACTTGCCTTTTCAGGAAACCCAGTGGATCTGCAGAGTGCTGCTGGGAGGAAAAGGCAGTAACAAATTAAGCAGGATTTAACAAAACTAAAAAGCAAACTTTATAAACTGCACACAAACATAAGCTGTTCCCTGCACTGTGAGGTTGCATAATGAAGCCTACAGTCAGGAAGCAAGTTCTTGTAGCGTAATGCTCCAGAGCAAGTGCTTCCCTTCAGTAGGAGTAAATGCTGGTACAGGTCTCTGAACTAGTGGATGACCTGACAGTGGATGTTGAAAGTAGGCCCTTTTTGCTGTGAAGAATTGCATCCCAGTTATGTGAGCTGTCTCCAGTTAATTCAGCAGCCTTCTTAAGGGAAAGCTGGTCAGAAAGCAGATTGGCGTATATTGCCTTTGAAGTCTTACTTCCACTGTAGAAGTGTGTCGTCTTTTAACCGTTGCTGGTACTTGCAATTGTCTCTTGCTCATAGTCTTCAAACAGCTAACTTCATCGAGTATGGCTCTCTTGAGCAGGTTGTTAGAGACTTACCTTGCTTGTTTAAGATGATTTTCCTAAAACACATCACTGTATTCCCTTAGATGGGGATGCTGAAGTGTTGTCATCCTCAGAAGCGTTCTCTTGCCCAGAATTCCCAGTTGGGAATTTTATTGGGAATTTAATTACCGTTGAGAATTAAACACTTGGACTTCAGTACTGCAGTATGAGGTGATGTAAGTCAATCTTCTGGATTGGGACAATTACTCTACACGCTTTTTTGCTCCGCTTGCTGTATTTGGGGTTTTTTTGGTCACTAGGAACACTGCAGTGTTTTGATTAATTTGAGTTTAAAAGCTTGAATGAGGGCAGTGCGCTGGGGACAGTGCATGGATGTCATTGCCCTGATAGAAGAATAGAGATTATTTTACCAAGAAGACTTTTTCCAAGTGATAGGCTGCTGTAGCATGGTATACCCCAAATGGTAAAAGTATCTCTCGCTGTGTGTGCAGGGTGTGGATGCAGCTATGGGCTCAGACAGCTGTGTGCAGCTGAAGTCTGAGCTTGTCAAGGCACATGACAGTGTGTGCTGTACGGCCTCCGAGTTTGTCTGGGGGGAACTTCACATGGCCAGCAATCGGGAAAACGTTATCTGAGCACTGTAAAAAAAAAAAAAAAAAAAAAAAAAAAGTTAAAGGAGCCAAACCAAAACCCTCTCAGCCCGCTCTGCGCCGATGCTGCCCAGCACACGGAGTTTGCAGATAAGAGCCAGCTAGCCTTCCTCCTCATATTTCATGAGAGACAAAAATTTTTAAATTCCTTGGGGCAGAGCGCAGGCTGCCCTTTCAGACGCCGTCTGTACCAGCCTCACCCGAGCAAAGCAGCTGCTCGTTGCGCTCAAGGGCGCTGTTTACTTCGCCCGCGGGAAGAGAGAACGGATGACATCAGCAGGCATCTCCCCTCTGGTTGCAGCAGGGCGCTGCACTGGTTTCTTGATCAAAGTTTGGAGCAGTCATTTGAGGTCTGTGCCTCCAGCCATGCGGAGGTCATCTTTTCCACCCACTTGCACTGGAACGGCTACAGAGAGGAAGGAGCTCGGGTACTGTTATAAACAGGGCCGGGGGTGAGCCTTCCTCTTATAGGTGGTCCTAAGAAACGGTGGTATTGAGAAAAATCTGCCATGGGGCTTTTGGCTGGATTTGTACCCATCAGTGTCTCAAGAGAGATGTTGAGTGGTGGCCAGGTAGGGTTTCAAACACTGTATTAAAGCAGTGTTGGTCTTGTCCAGCCATTTGCCAAAACTGTTCACAGTAGAAAAACATGTCTAAGGCTAGAGGCTGCCATGAACCACTCAGTATCTTCAGGAATGTGTCTCTAAATTGTGAAGCCGTTTGTGTGATACATGCCCTCTTTATTTGGAATACTGCTCGATACCAATGAGCCATTCTGGCTGAGTTCAAGGACACCTTTTTAGTCTTTAGCAGGCTCTTCATAAAACTGTGCAAACAACTGATGTTTATCTGTTTGGTAATAAAAGCTTTGGAAGAACTGTTTTAACAAAATCTATTAAGAATATCAGGATTGTGTGTCTTGCTCTGGCTTGTAAATTGGATTGTCAGATTGCATCCGAGAGACTGCAAGCAAGGCCAAAGTGTTTAGAATGTGTTTCGTAATGCTTTAGTAGAGAAGTCATTATTGTCTTAAGCTGCTCGGAGACAGTGTTTCCATTTAGTGATCCTCTGTCTTTCTCCCGCTTCAGAAAAAATGGCTCAAAGTGCCTGGTGCACTGCAAGATGGGCGTGAGCCGCTCGGCATCCACCGTGATCGCCTACGCCATGAAGGAGTACGGCTGGAACCTGGACAGAGCGTACGACTACGTGAAGGAACGGCGCACCGTCACCAAGCCCAACCCCAGCTTCATGCGGCAGCTAGAGGAGTACCAAGGGATCCTGCTGGCCAGGTGAGTCTGGCAGAAATGACCTGCATTACCCATTTAAAGGCGTAACACCTAAATGATTGACTTTGTTATTTTAATTAGAACTTCTTCCACTGCGTTATGTAAGCTTGTGATTATCTTGGGGAAGATAACACTCTGTTTTCATGGGTTATCTCAGCTGAGCCTGGGAAAATGGGTGTAATAAAAAGCGTCTAGGAGGCTGTTTGGCTGCTTTTTGAAGAGTAGCCTCCCATGAACTGCCATCCAAATGCAGTATTCAGAGCTGTGTAGTTTCCAGCAGAGATAAATGATGTCCCTACTGCTTGTAGCATCACTTGGCAGGGAAGTTGCCTTCCCTCTGTCTCAACGTTACAGTTCCCTGTTGACCGTGCCCCTCCCCAGCAGCTGGCCTGGTTTTATTTAGCTCCTCCTGTAAGTGCTGGTGTTTGGGGAGGGGGCAGGATGTTCTTGCTTCCTTTGAATTGCAACAGCAGTGTTTGTTCCTGCCTGGAGTTCGGAGGCTGGTGTGGAGCTGACTATGGGCAAGGGTGTTGTAATCCCAAACCTATCACCTGATTAGCAAAAAAGACATAAATATTGCTTATTTCTGAGAAGTCTGCTTGTAAGCTGTGTTAAGCAACGTCGCCACGTGATCAGCTGGAAGGAGGCAGCGATACTGTGTTTCTCCAGATTACAGCATTTTGTCTCGGATCCTAGCGTGCTTTGCTGTTGAGCAGCTCTGAAGCCTTTGGTGCCTTGTGTGACACCAAATGTGCTACGCTGCTGCTGGCAGCAGTTAATAAAGATCAGCACTTAACTCTGAGCTGGAAGTGACCTGCCCAGTTGGATGTGCTACACAGCGTTAGGCAGACTGGGAAATTAAATCTCCCTCGGGTAGGCTGGATGGAGGAAAAGACGGTTTTCAGACAGGGAAACGGTGCCAACATCCTGTGCAACAGGTTGGGGAACACCTGTGAAGGGCGCTTGGCCGCTAGCAGCTGGTATATCACACCTTCAAAGCCTGCCATTGATTTAAGTAATCGGTCCACCTGGTAGTTGGCGACACACCTGCAAAGCCAGCCTGTACAAACATTTTGATTAAGGCTTTTTTCTTTCTTTTTTATGTCATATTTTTTCTGAGGAAGTAAAGCTTTTCTTGCTGCCATCGTTGACGTGGCGTGTGGCTCCCCTCCCTGTCCAGGCTGCTCCTGTCCTACTTTGCAAGTCCCCATACAGTGATATGAACACGGTTACTCGTGAGGCTTTAAAAAATGCAAGAGCAGTGCATTACATCTGCGGGTGCGGGGCTAAAAAGCCTGCAGTAAATGAAGCTTCACTGAAGCAAGGAATAGCCTCCGTATACTGCAGAAATGGCCCCTCTTTTCTTTATGCCAGTCCTTTCTCAGCTCCCAACGGCTCTTTCTCCCCTTTCTCCTCTGTGTTATCTAGCTTTGCTCTCTGGCCTCAGGCTGCCTTGTTTATTGCTGCAGTATTCCAGGACAGGTGGAAAAAAAAAAAACCCAAAAAAACAAAAAGAAAACCCCCCAACAGATTCACGCTCATGTGACTGCTCAGATTTCAGAGGGGAGGTTTGCGAGGGCAGCCATGTGCTCGGACTATCTAGTTACGGTTTTGTGTTGGGGTTATAGCAACACAGGATATGTTTTCCATCTGTAAAATGAAAACCCCCCTGTCTGCTTTCAGTCACAACAACAAGCGTGTTTTGCTCTCCAGGACTGTCACGCTTCCGGGGGTTAAACCGTCCCCTCCCTCTGGCGATGGGAAGTGACAGCAGGGCTGAGATACCCCTGTTTCTTTTCTTAGTTGTGGATAAATTACAGCAAAAAATTGTTCGGGGTCCCCCGCTCAGAAATGGTGTTTGGGTTGTGGCGTGCTGTTCTCCGGGAACGCGGTGCAGGGGACGGCTGTGGCCTCGAGGAAGGAACACGGGCCCTTGTTTCTTGACCCTGCTCTTAGCACCTTTTGCAGGTTTGAAGACTGGAGGAAGTGTGAGATTCAAAGTTAAGGGAATACAGTTAACCTGCCGCAGCGGTTGTTGACAGCTGTTTGGAGCCTCAGACCAAGGCAGAGAGCTGTGCTTGGCGAGTTTGGCTTGTTCATGCAGGAGGGCGACCTGCGTTTCAGAATCGGGTGCCCACCAGAGCGCTGGAGTCGGCCGTCGAGGCGCCGGGGCCGGAGGCAAAGTGGGCCGAGGGCCCCAGCAGAGCTGAGCCTGCGCGGGGCGGTGGTGCCGCACACAGCGCGTCCCCAGGGAGTCCCTGCCTGCCTGGGCCTGTGGTTGCATCAGATGGACAGTGCGTCTGGGAGGGGATGAGGAATGGCTTTAAACCCAGCTGGGGAAATGGAGGCTCAGAAAGCCTCAGTGACTTCTCTCCAGGTTGCATGAGCAGCGAAATGGGAAATCTTTGACCTCCTGTCCAGAGCCTCAGCAACAACCTGCCTCATGGGCAGGCCTGGTCCTGCTGCCAGCATTAGCTTTGGCTCTGAAATCCATTAGAGATGGAGCACGTGCCTCCTAGAGCCATGCCATGTGGCCTCCAGCGTTGACCCTCCTCTCCTGTGAGAGGACCTGATCCTGCCCCGAGTCGTAGGTGACAGCTGTAGCTGATTACGGGGTTAGAAGGCTATCTCTGTGCTGCACTATTTCCTTTGGCTGTTGGGCACCCACAGCTAAACTGATGCATTTTTATTAGTTTAGTAGCATCTGTTAATTAACTTACTGCAGCCAGTGGATGTGTCTGGGAGCACCTGCTCACCCTGGCAGGGGCCTGGAGAGGTTTTGCTAGACCTGAGGTCCTTTCTGTGGTATCTGCTCTCCTCCTAGGGGCAAATGGTGGAAGCACAGCCCTGTGGCCGTGGTCACTCAGCAAAACCCTTGCAAACGTGGCTAGCGGCGTGGTTTCACCGCCCAGAAGTTGCCTCCTTGGTTCCCCATAACCCCTGGGACGTGGGCTGTTTTTTTTGGCAGGTGGAGATGAGGAAGATGATGCAATACTACTGGTATTGGTTGGCCTTGTGACTCCTCAGGCCTTCCTAAAGGGACTTTCCAAGAGCTGGAGAACTTGAGCTTCCTTTCTGTGAGACGCAGGTGGTGTTTTGGGCGTCTTGTTGACAGTAGAGGATGTCTCCTGTGTGCCTCCCTGCACGCACAGGCCTCTTTGGTTGCCAGAGCTCAGTTATTGATCACTGAAATTTCTCAAGGAAGGAGCCACAAGGCATCCCCTGTGCTGAAGGGGAAATTGGATTCGTTCAGTGTCTACCATCCATTCACGTCCAGGACCAGGGACCCTGTCCCTTCTGGTTGTTGCTCACCTGCTGACAAATGGATACGTGCTGACTGAGAAGGGGCCAAATTCTGTAGTTAAACACTGTGTTTGAGGAGTAGGCTGATGAAATAGGGCTGGGGAATACGTGCGCGTATGTGGAGCAGAACAGTGCGGAGGGATCTGACTGCTGAAAGGTGGCCTGGTGTTAGATTGAGTTCTCCAGCAGCAGGTTTGGCCCTGAAATGTTTAGGTTAAGCTGCAGCTGTTGGTCAGTGACTCCAGTATTTGTCACTGCTTTTCACGTAAGCTGCATCTTCTTACAACAAGGTGGGTCTGGCCCCAGTATGTGAAAACACTACTCAATGTTTTCCCTTGCTTTTCTTCCCCGCAGCAAGCAGCGGCATAATAAACTGTGGCGCTCGCACTCAGACAGTGACCTTTCTGACCATCATGAACCCATCTGCAAGTCTGGGATGGAGCTGAACAAAAAGGAGATCACCACCTCTGCTGACCGGATCTCGGATGCCAAGACCAACGACAACCAGCAACCAATGTCTCCTGTCTACTCAGCTGAGCTGGACAGGGAGCAGCAGCTCCCAGAGGATGCAAACATGATCGAGGAGCCATGTGTGAAAGAGAGAAGGGTCCACCTGGAGTTTACGTGTAGAGACTTCCATGCTGAGCAAATGGAGGACAAGCTGAACCTAAACAATATCAATGGCTGTCCAGCAGGATGTTGCGTGGACTCTGTCCCCCCTGATAACTGCCATGCTTCTGAGGCCTTAATGCAACTCCAGCACCCCTTAGAAATAACGGAGTTTCCTGATTTGACAGTGGATGATTTAGAAAAAGATGCCCTTAAGCCTGATATGAACGTGCACTTGCTTCCCATGGAAGAATTCACGTCATGCTTAAAAGACTTTCCCCAATCCCCAAACCAGAATTCCCCAAATCCCCAGCAAGTTCCCCAGCCTGAAGTAACAGACCTCAGTACAGATAGGATTGATTTCTTCAGCGCTTTGGAGAAATTTGTGGAGCTTTCTCAGGAGAGCAGGTCGCGCACCTGCTCCCATTCGAGGACGGAGGAGCAAGGTAGTGGAAGGAACGGGATCTCCAAGGTGTCTGCTCTGGAAGTGCCACCTGCTGCAGATGGGGGTGCAGATGCTCGAAGGAACAGCTCTGGAAACTCCCCTCAAGCATCGGATGACTCCTCCACAGACGAAGAACAGCAAAAGGTTAAAATAACTTGCTCAGTTTTTTAGGAACTGCTGCTCAAATATGTCTGCCGTAGTTTTCTTGCTGTGAGATTGCTGTAGATAGGGGCTTTTCCAGTTCTGGCTTTCACTGAACAGGATGGTTTTCTGGGGAGATATTGCTAGCTACTTGCCCTTTTCTGCACTTTTTTCTTAAGCATCTGTCTACTGGCTGCAAGCAGTGACAGGGCACTAGTTGAGTCAACCTTGATCTGACCTGCTCTGCTGTTCTCAGGAGAAACTTATTTTTGAGTTTTGCGTACAGAAAGCAGATAGGTGGGACTTGACCAGTTTACGCAGCTGAACTCTGAACACAAGGGACTAGCCAGCCTCCTGAAGCTGTGCAGATATTTATCTGACTTGAAGAATCCACCAAAATGGAGCAAAGCTAGCACCTTTCCCTGGTTGAAAAGTACCAGCATTGAGATAGCAAATTGGGGACAGATGGATGGGGACTGATGGAAGACGAGAATGAGTGGGTCCAGGCCTAAGGTATTGGAGTAAGGGACGTCATGGTTCACTTCTCTCCTGGGACAGAGATGTTCTTGACAGAATGTAATAACCTCCTGAACTTAGGTACCTTTCTCTGCTAATTGCTTTCCACCCTGCAAGGCTCTCACAGGGACTGATGGTGGCCGAGGCCATCGTCTTCTGGGAGCCTCTCTTATTTAAATTCTGCACTGCTTTGCTTGGATCTTTTCTATCTCCATGTGAGACAGCAGGGATCTTCCTCACATAATAGGCCAATACTGTCCCCAACGATCTGGCAGAAGGAGTGTCTGTACTGGCAGGGGGAGCTTCTCTGGCTGTTTTCTTTAGGGAAACTGGAGCATTTCAGCACTCGGTCATTCTTTATGCTGTATTTCTGTTCACTGTCATATATGAACAGAATATTTTAAATTTACAAATCAAAACTGCACTTTTTAAGTCCTAGTCTAGGTGGAAATCCAGTCTGGAATACATTGAATGCAGTCCCAGAGATGATATTGCTTGATACGTTGGTGATCGCCCTGTACTTGGGATCTAGTTCTGCACTTTGGCACGTGCGCTTTGCTTTTCCTCTGTGGATATGCACCTCTATAAGCTGCTGCCATTTGTCAGCACAACTGATCCATTTTGTAATGCCCCTGTTTCTGTGTTGCAGGAGGTCCCTGAGCTGCCTAGCACAGGCCATCTCACAAGATCCCACTCAGAAAATGCAATTTCTGTGAAGGAAATTATCACAGAGATTGAATCAATCAACCAGGGAGCAGGACCTGCGCAGCAGAGAGAGGGTTCAGCCAACCATACCCAGACACCGAAGAGGAACACAGTGCATGAGCTACCGGTGGAGGTGGTCTGGGCATCAGAGAGGGTGGAGCAGAGTGAAAGAGCTTGTGCTGGACACCAGGAGAAAGAGAAGGACTCTCTGCAAGCTGAGCAAGAAGGTAGCTCTTCACTGCAGCTCTCTTCCTGCAAGTCGGACCTGGAGGAAAGCAGCCCTGCAGGGGAGCAGCAGGAGCCTTGCGGCCAGAACGTCAGTCCTGAGCCAAAGTGGTGCCCGGGCTCCGTCAAGCGGGCCACCTTGGAGTTTGAGGAGCGCTTGAGACAGGAGCAGGAGCATCAGCATGCCGCCCCAGGCTGCGTCTTACCCACTCGCAAGAACTCCAGGAACGACTCTCCGGCTCCTGAGCTCCTGCCACGGGGGAAGAATGAGGAGCCATCCCTGGAGCTGGCTCCAGAGAGCAACAAGATGCAGAGTCCAGGTGCTGAGGAATTGCTGCCTCCTGGGGCAGAGCAGCCTGCAGACAGACATCTGTCTGTGCCGCTCGTCTCTCCTCCCCACGAGCCCATGCCTGCAGGGCCTAGCCTGCAGCAAGAGGTAATAGCTCAAGAGCGCAGGACAGTGGTCTCGTTTGATGGCGCAGAAGAGCCAGCTCTGCCCTCCCTCCTCCCAAAGAGAATTGAAATAATTGAGTACACTCCCACGCTCAAGTCTGCAGAGCGCCTTGATGCTAGCTGTGAGCAGGGTGGGCTGGCTGCAGCCATCCCGCCTTTAGATGAAAACTTGAATCCTTCGTTATGCTCAGAGAAGGCCCCTACCTGTCTCAAAGCTCTGACTCTGGTTAGTCTTTCACTGCCAGAGCACGCGGTACAAAGGCAGGCCACCTTCACTATAGGAAGCCCTAGCGAAGAAGGTAGTGGGTTATCCGTTCATCTCGGTGGTGCTTCGCCCTCTGTCCAGGTAGCCTACGCACCTTCAGCCAGCCTAGATCGCTCTTCCTACCCGTACGTAGTTCACCTGGAGGGCGTCACTGAACAGAGCACGAGTACAGACAATGAGCCGGCCGTATCATGCAGCACCGAGGGGGACGGCAATCTCCCATTCAGGGACAGCAGCAAGCCTCTGTACGGAGGGGGTGCTGGCACCTCGAGGCAGCTGAGTAGCGAGGACTTACCCAGCCAACGCACTGAAAACGTGGACGTTATGGACATCTCTTTCCTGTGCTATGGTCTCCCCCACAGCTCCAGCAGCCACAGCGTGGAGGAGCGCAGTAACAACCCTGGGCTTGTCAAGCAGCGGACAAAGGAAATAGAGGCCCGGATCCGGCATGCGGGGCTCACCACGCCCTCCCACATGAAACGCTCAGCATCCTTAGCCAAGCTGGACTGCCTGGATCTCTCCAAGGATGACTTATCTGAGAGGGAATCGGCTTCTTCCGACGCCAACCCGGTGCTTCTCACCTGCGTTGCACTTGGTCGAAGTTTTTGCGGGGGGATGTTGGAGGGGAGCTTAGAAAGCCCATGTGACAAGCACTGCGGTTCCTCTCTGCCAGCCCTTCAGGATCCAAAGCCTACTAAGCATTTTGTAGAACAGCTAAGAACAACAGAGTGCATTGCCCAGAGCAAGCCGGTGGAGAGACCATTAGCTCAGTACGCCAAAGAGTGTGGCTCAAGTCAGCAGAGTTTGTTTCCCAGTGCGGATCCAGTGTGGACTAGCTCTGAGGAGGGTCCTCCGCTGCTGCAGGTGCAGGTTGTGGACTCCTTGTCTCCAGCTCAAAGCTTGGCTGTTGCACCCAGACAGCAACACGGTAGAACTCACCCTCTGAGGAGACTCAAAAAGACCAATGATAAAAAGCGGACAACCAATCCACTCTATAATACTATGTGATTCTGAGCCCTCAGCTGTGATTTCTTACAAAAGAGAACCCATGTTGTTGCGTTCACACAAGGGGCAGGTGTAATATATAAGGAACATGCACTTTATTGGTTAATTTTATATATATTGTCATTTTACTGTTCCTGGCGCATGTAGGTGTGGGTTGGTTCTTCTGTGTGTGACTCTGACTGCAGGACTGTTTGTTTTTTAATTTTTTTAACTCAGATAACCTCAAATGTTCTTTTTTTTGTTAGTTTGTTTTAAAAGAACACCTTTAGCAAATGAAAATTGCTGTTGGGTCACTTCTGCAAGGTGGAGTTTTGCATAGAACCAGGTCCTAGTTTCTAACTTGAATTTCCTCCATGCCTTGAAATGGTGCTGGGCAGTCATTGGAGTGAGAACCCACATAAATGCGAAGGCTGTGCCAAGATCCCTTTGTTTGGCCTTTCTTTTATTTCTACAAACTGGAACTCCATGACGGTGGCAGATCACTTATAAAACTGCTTCAGAAGAAACCTCCC